GTTGCACAAGAAGAGCTGAGCACAGCCACTGGGACAAGTCCTAGAATCAAACATCAGCCCAGGGACTGCTAGCTAGGTAGAACTGGGCAAGTTATCTAACCTCTCTGAGCCTGTAGAAACAGGTGTCATGTTGCCTACTCTTCAGGACTAGAGAGACTGACTGAGCACTGCAAAGCAGAGACCACAGAGCCTCAACTATGACATGTCTTTCTCCTACTTTCATAGTTTCTTCCATCTGAGGTCATTGACCAAGAACACCAACTGAGGCCCTCACAGGAGTCTCGTGCCTGAACCATTTGTCCATTACCAGACCCCTCTGGGTGCAGCTGTGCTGGGAAATCTTACTATTCAAGATATCTTAGATTCTCACATGAGGAAATAAAAGTATCCTTTTGAATATAAAAACAATGAGTGTAGATGTTTTAACAAGGAAAATAAATAAAATGAGCTTTCTTTGAAGATGCAGGTGTTCTATTTGTTATTGACTGAATAAGTTAAGTACTGGCTGAATCTTCCCATGATTGGGAGGATCGGATTCCAAACAACCCAGACTTCCCTTCACAGGTCCTCAGAACAGGGGACTTCCTGCCCTGCTTTCTCTCCACAGCCAAGAGGCATACAAGACAGTTTCTGTCTTTCTTCCTCCCAGCTCATTTAGACTCATCAGCTTATGACAATGTGGGGAGAGCCCAGCGTCCTGGCTTGCTCTGAGCTCACAGGTCCAGTGGCCTTTGTACAAACCCAGGACAAAGGGAGGAAACCCTAGGAAGGATACATTTCCCTCCTCACACGCTGCTCTATCTATTTTCTCTGAGCAGAGCAGAAACCTCCCACACTGCTCCCCAACATAAAGGTAACTTTAATCCTCATTCAAGATCCAGTTCCTATTTAAATCCTGAAAAGTCTAGGCTCTCCTTGTCTGGGAGCCCCCTCTTTGGCAGCCAGCCCTGGATGCTACTCTCTCCTGGCTTCAGAGGGGGAAAGGGCACCCACTGGGCTTGGACAAGTCTGGGCTCAACACGCTGGAGGAGAACAAAGACTCGACACAAATGAGCATGGGTTCCTTCCAAGCCCTTAGCCGTGTGCTCCAGGGCAGGGATGCCTCTGTGCCTCTGCGCTGGATTTTGTTTCCTCTCCAAGCCATGCTGTGCCCCCACATCAGCTTTGTGAGTTGGCTTCTTCATGATTCAGAAGTGACAAGGGTGACCTGCGGTGGCCCCTGAAATCATAGGCTCTCTGTAAGGGCATTCCACTCAGTTAAGAAGGGGAGAGTCCAAGCAGAAAATAGAGATGAAAAGCCAAGAGATGAGCTTCCCTTCTAGACCAAAACACAGAGCCACCTTAGCCGTTCACTGCACTAGATAATTGCTGTTTGTCAGCTCTTTCCACTTTGCAGTGAAAAATCACCAGAACTTGCTACAGACACTCTGTCTCACTCTCACAGTGAAGGTTTCATATTCATGTTTCCTCTTCTTCTTAAAGCTGTCAAGACAGTGGATTTCACTAGAGAATTGAATTCTTGCTCCTGTCCTTTCTGAACACCCAAGAGGTAGACTGTTTCCGATTCCTGATGCATGGAACCTGAGAGACCCACATGAAATCCCAGAGCCAGGTGCAGAGAACGGCTCTTCTCATTCAGCTCCGCAAACACCTCCCAAGTTTGTACTCAGTCAGGCACCCTGCCAGACTCATGTCACCAAGGTGAGGCAGCTGCAGCCCCTGCCCTTGAAGCGTTTAGTCTACTCCACCAGGTGCTCTAAATCAAGTCATTCCAGGTCCAGCATTATAAAAGGTTCCTGAGCCGGTTCCACAGTCACACGGTAGCCTTCATACTCAGACCTTCTCCCCACTTGGTGTAATACTCTGCTGTCCCCTTCTAAAATTCTTAATAATTTATTTTTAAGAAGAGATTCACATTATTATGTTGCATCGGGCCCTGCAAATTATATGGCTGATCCCGGCATTGCCTGTAAGAGTTAATCAAGACTAGAGAGACCGAACTCATCCAGGGCACCTTGCTTATTCCTGATACATGTTACAGCTGAAGAACAAATACTCAGGAAATGGCATTATGCCTTGGGTTTCAACTCATCACTGATGTAAGCAGGGACATTTCCAGGAATGGTTCAGAATGAACATCACAATCTCTACTTTACCAGGCGGTTAGCAAAAGCTGATTCCATGAGCCTGTTTATCATAACTTTGATCTCTAACGTCTAACGCAGCTCTGCTTTATGATTTAAAAAACATGGGCCCTTTAATTTATCACACTAATGTGATTACACATTCATCCCCAGAGTCTAGGCCATATCATAGGCACTCAAGCGAGGCCACGGGTGAAATTTATGAGCTGAGATTTACCTGCATTCAGGCCCTATAAATGGGAAATCTTTACCTTAGTCAAGTGACGTGCTCAGTCCAAAACCTGAAGAAAAATTAAGCCCTTCAATCAGTGTCCTGCTTTGTTAGTTTTTACAACTTATCCCAACCCTGCACAATTTAAACACCGTTTACAAACAAGTTTCACTTTGATCTTCCTTGGTGGAGAATGCAAAATCAATTAGGTACACACAGATAAAGCCCTCACATCCCATTCTCGTGGCATCTCACAATTAATGCTGCCCATGAGGCCAGGCAGCTGGACACGCATACACACAACACACACACACACACACGCGCGCGCGCACAGGCACAACTCCTCTGGCTAGGACAAACGTCACTCGACTCTGGAGCTGAGCCTGATGATGTAGAAATATCCCAAGGCATGGTTATTCTGCATTGTGAAGAAATCAGTTTGTAGTTTAATTAAAATACACCAGAGCATAGTTCAGTTGGAATGGAGACTCCCATTGAACCTAATTAGGCTGCAAAAATCTCAACCTTAAAAACATCTACAAGGGGGAGGATAGAAATTTTGAGTGCATCTTTTGAGTGTTTTCAGCTTTTCAGTTCCCCTACTCTACCAGTAGAATAGTTTCACCAGGAAAACTAACTCTCTGACATGGAAGGATAGTAACAGGTCTCCTCTAATAAACCTCTGGCAGGTGAGACAAGAGCACTCAGATAAGTCAAGTGAGCAGCCCTGAACACAGCACAGCCAGTGAGAACCACAGCCAGAAGTGTGTGAGTCTGAACTGAGGAGGGAGCCCTACAAAGTAAGACCAAGCAATCTCTTCAGACTGCCTGGGTTCAAGCCCTGACTCCACTAAGCTGTAAGAACCTGGGCAGGGTGAACGCTGCTGAGCTCAATTTTTGCTTCTGTAAAATGGGGGTGTTAATTGTTTCCCCTTAAAGGTTGCTGAGGGTATATGTGCTGACGAAGCAAGCACTAAGGTTGCTGAGAGTATTAAATGAAATTAGGTAGATAAAGCCTTGATGACACCTACTCAATACATGTTGGTCACTGTGATCAGAACTCAGATTCCCCAGTTCCCTGTCCTCTGTCCTGTTATCTCACACTGCTCTCTAGGGTTCTTTATCTTGGAGACTCCCTCAGACCTGGGAAGAACATACTGTGTGTATGCACTAGAGATGATGCAGGAAGCACCGCAGAACACAAGGCCCCAGCACACATTAAATGTGTATCACATGGCTCTTCCAAGTATTCGTTGACCTAATGGGAACTAATTTTAATTGACTGCCAATTGGAAGGGATCCAAAAATAATCTAAAAGATAAACAACAACAATGAAATTTATGAAATTCTAAATGCTTCCAAAGTGCTATGGATCCCTACATTTAATAAAATTAGAAGGCAGCAGAATATGGTCTGCAGCTGGGCTAATGGTAATGTACAAGCATCCATTTCCTGGTCTTGATGCCTTAAGGTTATATGAGACATTATCATTGTGGGAAGTTGGGCAAAGTTAACAAACTCTGAGCTAATTTTGCAACTTCCTTTTTTTTTTTTTTTCTGTAGTGAGGATTGAATCCAGAGCCTCCACACTGAACTGCAACCCTAGCCACCCTCCTTTTTGAGATACGGTCTCCTTAAGTCACTAAGTTGCCCAGGCTGGACTCAAGCTTGCAATCCTTCTGCCTCAGCCTCCCAGAGTGCTGGGATTACAGGAGAATGCTACCATGCCAGCTAAGTTTTGCTATTTCTTGTGTCTGAAAGTATTTCAAAATAAAAGGTTAAAATATAATTATCAGGCAGCATTCAGGAGTGCCAAAAGACTAAGGGGAATCCTGGAAAATTTTCAGCCTGTTAACACAGTCTCTGGGAAGTGGTGCGAACTCAGGGAAGCTCAGGACAAGATGCTGAGTAATATCTGGAATGATTCCAGAAAAATCTATGCAGGGAAAAGTTATTTCCTTTTATCTCTTCATTTACTAAAATACAGGAAAATTTCATGTTTTGTTCATAGCTTAAAAATTAATCATAAGCAACCGAAAATGGAGCTGTATATTACTACTACGACTACTGATAAACATTTATTGGAAAAACTTCCTCAAGGATGTCTAGGGAAGAACAGAGGGACATTTCATATATGGAAATATGATGGGAATAACTCATTGAGTATCTGCTGTGCATCAAGTTAACTGGTTGGTGCCTTGGGAGTGATTTCCATGCTGGAAAGACTGCTATCACTGTAACATGTCATTAACCTTGATCCACTAAACGTTGCCCAGAGCAGTCTGATAGAGTGCCTGGGAGACCAAGTGCTGTCCCCTGGACAACACTGTTCCCCTGGTAATGGCAAGCCTGGGGCAGGAAGGCAGACTGGGAGTCCACAATGGCAGGAGCCTCAAGGAGCTGAGTTGCTTGCTGACAACTGGAAGCATCTGCAGTCAGCCATGGAAGGGAGCAAGAATTCTACTTGAGAAGGTTCAAGGGCAAGTTAAGTCCTGAGGGTGGGCAGGAGAGGAGGGCGATGCTCCAGGGAGGGGATGGACCAGTGTGGGAGTCATATATGCCTAGTCCCTCTACAGATGGTCCCCTGTCTTGGAATCAGGCTGCTGGGAAATGTTGCCAAACTCAAGTTAACAGCCTGCACTTACCTTTGGGATTTCAGTCCTGTCTTTATACGGGTGCTTTCAGCTTCCTGGCCCAAGACCTCTCCCGCAAACATGTGCTTACATAAAAATAGCTTCTCCTCAGATGCCAAACCTTCAACAGAAGGCAGATATGTTGGAGTTTTCTTTGTTTCTTGCTCTTCCTGTATTCTGACACTGCAGCAGCTGCTGACCAGCCAGGCTCAAACAGGAGCTCTTCATCCAGAAGGGAGTGGTGAGAAGGGGGAATTACAAATGACAATTTGGAGGATGTAGAACAAAAGAGAATCAACCCACCTGTAGCCGAAACTAAGCTTCTCTCTCCCACACAGAACTAAACCCCATCCCATCAACTGGTTCCTTCCTGGGGTCTTGGCATTGGCTGTTCCTCTGTCCAAGTCTGAGGCAGTGGCACCTTCTTGTCTTTCAAGGATCAGCTGAGATGTCACCTCCTTGGTAAGGCTGTCCCCACCATCCAGTCCGTCACTCTCTCCCTCACACGGGTACTTAGGACCCTCTGTGCCTCACTAGCTGTGATGTGGCCACTGTCTGTCTCTCTCCAAGGGAACAGACGCTGTGACTACTAGGGCCACGTCTGTCTAGTTCTTGAAGCAGCATGGGGCACAGCCGGTCCCTACTAAAGAACTCTTTACACTGGGCAGGTTGTGCAGAGCCTGAGTCAGAAGAGTCAGAGAAAGCAGAGGGTCAGGCTCCCAACTGTTCTTCATACAGAAAGCTGAAGGACCAGGCAAGTCACTTTAGTTTTGTTTCCCCTGCCATTATAAAAGGAAGTGAGCAGAGTGGGGAAACAAAAAAGATGATCTGAAAGACCCCCGCCATCCTTGCTATATGGACCGGGGGCCTCAGTTATCAAGACACTTCTGCCCACTCTTGCCAGCCTTCCTTTCACCCACCTGTCTGTCTACCCACCCGCCCGACCCCTTTTCCCCACAGCCTAGGCCCTGGGGACACAACTTTCGATAAGACACATGCCTTGTCCCAAAGGAACAGAGAACCTTCCAGTGGCAGAGACAAAAAGGAGGCGATTCTACACTGATTAGCTAGCTGTCAGAGGACATGCCTGTGCCTCTGGCCTGGCCACTGTGGGGAGGTGGGGTGGGACTGTTCACAGAGAAAAGGAAAACAAATCCAAAATCCCACACTCATTATAGAGTGGAAACAATGTGTGTTAGTTCCATCCAGGAAATCTGAATGCGACACCTGAAGATTGTCCCAGTGAGTCTCAACACAGACTGAGGACAACTGAGGCTCGCTCGCGAGATCACTGTGCCGTGCCGATCACCTTCCTCTCATCTTTGTCATGGATGAACTGGAAATGCTCCTCTGCACAAGGAATAACCCTTGCTAAATTCCAGCACAGCTTCTTAGCTAAAGAGTTGAACACATGTGGGTCCATGTACGTGTGCGCACGCAGGCATGCATGCACACACTCCCAGAGGCCCAGCACTCACCTCCCAAAGACCTGATGCGCCTGAACTGATGCCACAGAACTGATGTAGCAGCAGAGGACGTGCATTTTTCCAAGGCCCCATGCGGGCTCCAATGGGGCATCACTGAATAGAGCCACTGAGCTCCTGCCAAATTTCCTTATCACAGTGGTGAAGGGGCACTAAATTGTCAATGATAACAACACGAATCACATCCATGAGGATCTTTTGTAAGAAATCGTTTTTTAATAATTCCACCTCCTCCTTGTCCTCCTCCTCGTCTTGGTCCCCTTCCTCTTTCAACTTCTCCTGGGTGACGTTAGCAGGACCCTTGGCATCACCGACTTCCCTCTAGACTCAGTCAGCAGCACCTTCTGGGCTCTTCTCTCAGCTTCGCCAACTCAGTGATGTGCAAGTGGTTTTCATCATCACTTATAATAGTCCCACCTCTCACCCAGGTTTTTTGCTACATCTCCAACAGAGGGGCCAGTGTTTGTGGATTTGATCTTGAAATAAGCAGCATTCTCGACAGAACAGGAAGAATCTAGATGGTGGTCTCCTGGGGGCAGTAGGGTCCTCCTTGCCTTCCTGAGCTGGTTCATATCCATATCTTGATCATGGCATTTATTGTTTGATTTCTTTTGGGGGGGCGGGGATCAAACTTGGGACCTTGCGCTTGTGAGGCAGGCGCTGGAGCCACTGAGCTAAATCCCCACCCCCAATTGTTTGATTTCTTTATCTGTCTTTGCCATTTCACCAAACTCAGACTTCTCTACTCTCTTTCACCTCTCAGAGCACTCCTCGGACAACTGTCTAAAACTGACAGGGACCTCTAGGCTCTTCTTCTAGGACTTTCTCTGCACATTTGCACATCCAAGGAGGCAAAGCAAACATCTTGCTTTCTGGTTTATTGGAATCAGCTTCAGCCACCCCTATTCTCTTATTCTGCAGTCTGGGCACAGCAAGTGCGACATGGAGCCTAGCACTCCTCAATCTCCAGGACAGCTGCTCCATGAGGCTCTCATAGCAGAGCCTCCTAAGCAGAGAGAACATTCCAGCCACAAAACAGGCCTATCTATCTCCAGGGGCTCAAGTGGGTCTTGGAAACAAAGTACTTGAAAGGATGGTCTAGGGACACGGCCGAGCCCTGAGGACCACACCCACAGTCCATACAAAACCCCCGGCCCCCAGAGGTCTCCAGTTTGGCCCCTGCATTACTCTTTCAGTTTTAGCCAGCACAATCCTTTAAAAAATAGCTTTCTAATGTATCCTGGAGTCACAATCATAGCCTCTTGTTTATGGGTTTGGCCAGATCAGATAAAATTTCATTCTCTAAACTGGTTCCTAATTTAATTACTCCCGGGATAAGCAGTTGGCTTCCCATGGCTGCAGGGGAAGAAGAACTAGAAAGCTGCCGGCGCCACAAGTTGCAGTTCTTCCTCGGCAGCGGGTAGGGACGAGCCATTCTCAGGCCTTTGTCAGGTCAGAGAGGGTTAGAATAGTGGACTGGGGCAGGCAGCCACCATCTGTCCATCCCGCCCTGACCTACTGCCCCCAGCTGGTCAAGAAGGCATCCTGGGTCTTACCTACAGTTCATGGGAACATTCAGAGTAACTAAATTGTGACTCCAAACACCTGGATTCAATTTGGTTCTGTGTATGGACTCTCTAGGCCTCAGTTTTTCCTTCTATAAAAGGGTTCTGAACTATGTTCACTGGAGACCTTTCCAACTCTAAAATTCAAACTATTCAGTATCTCAGCCAAGATCATAGCAAGTAGGGAATAAAGACCTCATTTGAAAGCCAAGCCATCTCTAGGGCCAGAGGAAGGAAAATAAGTAAATAAATTTTATTATTAAGAGAAAGTAAAAACATTTCAAAAAATAGAACCCTAGAAATAGAAATATATCTGCATGAAAAAAAAAACAGTTCACTAATGTTTACAACAGCATTTGTCATAAGACCCAAAATATGGGGAAAAGACAAATGCTACCAATGAACAAACAGATAAATAAAACTGTGGTATATCCACACCATAGAATATTATTTGGCCATAAAAAAGGAATGGCATACACATGCTGCAACATGGATAACTGTGCTTACCTATGCAAAGGGAAAGAAGTCAGTCACCAAAGACCACATTCTATATGATTCTGGTCATATGAAAATCCAGAATCAAAGAATTAGAATTGACAGAGGCTAAAGTACATTTGTAGTTACCTAGGCTGAGGAACGTGCATGGAGGAATGGGAAGACAGGTGGTAAGAGCTAAAGGGTGGCAGGGTTTCTTTTTGAGATGATGAAATGTTCTAAAGTTGGCTGTGATGAAAAACAAATGCTGACCAGGTTGTGCAGAAAAGGGAACTCTACATTGTGGCAGAAGTATAAGCTAGTGCAACCACTATGGAAACAGCAAGGGGAATCCTCAAAAAATTAAAAATAGAGATTCCATTTGTCCCAGCTGTATCTCTTCCGGATATCCTCCTGAAAGAGTTAAAGTCATTGTGTTATAGTGATACACGCATACCCATGTTTATAACAGCACAACTCATAATAGCTAAATCTTAGAAGTAGCCTTTATACCAATCAACAGATGAATAAATAAAGAAAATGTATATACAAAATGGAGTACTACTAAGGCATAAAGAAGGATATTTGAGTCATTGATAGGAAAATGGATGTACCTTGGAACTGTAATGCTGAATGAAACAAATCAGAAAAAAGTTAAATACTCTATGGTTTTCTCATATGAGAAACTCAAAGTATAAATAATTTTAGAGCAAAATAAGAGATAGACTGTAAGAAACAGGGAAATAGACCTTGTAGAAAACAGAACTCGGGAGAGGGGAAACAAGGTAGAGGGGAAGGGAAAGGGAAGTAAACATGATCAAGATACCATATGTGCATGTACCAATACTCCACAGCAAATGTATTTATTAAGTATCATAAACATATACTAATAAAAAGAGAAGAAAAATTGGCTGTGGTGATATAATGTACATATCTGTGACTATACCAAAAAATACTAAATTATATACTTTAAATGAGAAAACTGTATATGGCATGAGAATTCTATCTCACCAAATCTGTTTTTAAAAAGAGAAGGTTTGAATGGGTTCAAAAAAAATCTGTGGTATGATTTTCAAAATAAATTAGATGAGTTTATATAGAATATATTATGTTATATATATATTTATATAAATTCTCCAGTTCTGGCAGCTTCTGGGCAATCCAAAGGTGATTTTCAGTGGGCAAGTCTTCCTCCTATAATCTAAAATAACTGCTGACTCAAAAGTGGGCAGGCCTGCATTTTTCTATTGATTTGTTTCGATTTTAACAGCTGAAAGCAAATTTATTTTCTACCACTCCAATGGCAACTGAAGGCTCATGTGCTTTTTAATACATCATTTTTATTCTGAGCCAAAAGTGTGCAAGGAAAAGGATCCATGGACTTTCAACTGCAGACCAGAGAGAAAATGATTTTTTTTCTTTTTCTTTTTTTCGGCCTGCAAGACAGTTTGCTGAGATCACGTTTGCTAGCTCCTACTCTCCTGTTCCGTACATCCTCCCCATCTAATTTCTCACTGAAACTGCTATCAAGTGGATATAAATAGCTTTGCAGAGTTAGGACGACACAAAATGTCAGGCTGATACCATTCTCATTAATCGGCGCATCCTTACATCCCCTCGTCTATTCTCACTGATAACTTTCTTAAGCAAGTTCAGCAGGTCCTGAAAGCAGCTGTTTCCTCTGACATTCAATATAGTACACTTGGATCGCTGTCCTGATATGGCCTTGGATAGGGTCTCTCTGAAACACACTATCTTTACCAAATACTATGACGATAAGGAGGGTCACACCATCATGGATAGGATTAAGATGACCACAAGAAAGATAATAAAGCGTTTCCACGGTTCAACAACACCCAGGACATGGAAGACAACGGCCCCCATTCTTAAGCTTCTATAATGCATCTTTCAGGTGAGATTTGGTCAAAGGGCCAAATGGGAAGCTCCACGCTTGATGATACATGGAACCGGAAGAGACACGAACTCAGGGTCAGTCATTCATCTCCCCTTGGACCACCTTCTCTTTCATTTCTTCTTCCCTGTGGG